TTAGCAAAAGAGACACCACTGTCGCACATAGTGATGGAGAGGCAGGCAAGCTACTGGCGATCAGCATTGGTGTCTTCATCCAGGAGAACAGCAGAAACATCCGAAGGCTGAATCTGGAGGAAGCCCATCCCAATACCCTGCAGGATGTCATCCTTGGACAGGGTGGGAGCAGACTTGAAACCATCCAACTTGGCAGTGTTCCTCTTGCTGCGGCAGAGGAACCTATCATCAATCTATTCCTTGGCTCTGGTGGCCCTCCGCTTACGAGGGGTGAAATCTTGGGCACAAATCTCAACAAGGTCCTCTGACTCCTCCAGCACCGAGTCCAGGACATCAGTAGGTTCTTTTATCTGGGGAGGCAGTAAATGGGCCAAACAAGCAAGGGTGAGGCGATCATGAAAGTAAGATGGGATCAGAGTATCATAAGCAATATCCAGAAGTGATAGAGAAGTGAAGATACTGGACAAGGGTGATTTGGTTATGAAATTGAGTACCTTTGCGATGGTAGGGGGGTGATAATCAGCTCAGGAGCAGGTGGAGCAGCAGGGAACAACACACAAGCAGCAGAGGGAATCTGACTATCTTTGACAATCACTGAGCGCAGTCTTAGTTTTTCAACAGGCATTTAACCATCATTCATGACCAGATCAGTTTTCTTTGGAGCCGACTGATGTACTAGCATTTGAGGAGCAGGAGCAGGAGCAGCAATCACTTCAGGGCCAACGCGCATGAACCTATTGAAGCCATCAGAAGGAGCAATCACGTACACTGTCAACAATTACTTGCTCTGCATCCTGGTTGGCAGCTCCATCTTCCACATCATGCATCACAACATTGGAGCCATTAGCATGTGAATCAGCTGGCGTGGCATCAGAACGCGCAGGCGGAACAGGACCAGTCCAGCAGGGAGCCTGAGGTGGGTAGGGGTGCAGAGGACCAGAGGTAACAAAAACTTCTTCTTCGGGGGGTTCAACAACCCCTTTCTTCTTGAGCACATACACAGGCATAGTCCAGGATCTTCCCCTACTAGGCAGCCCAACATTAACCTTGACCGAATCAAGAATGTTGGCATCATTGTTCAGATAGACTTTGACAACAACACGAGAGAGCCTTCCCGAGGTATGCCAGTGCACCATGATGCCAAACCCAGAAATTGCTTTAGCAATAGTCGGGGCATCATAGAGATCTTCGGGAAAACCAAGCAACATGACCCAAGCTTCAGGATCTAAGTCAAAATTTCTTGCGTTCACACCCTCATCATACTTAATCACTTCCATCTTGTAGTTACCAAAATCAAATACAGGCCCCAGAAACTTCTCCCTATCCAATGGGCTGCTAAAGCGCACATATGCATCTCCAAGTGCACAAGGCTGGACATCCACGACACGCACTTGATGGATGTCACGGAAGAAGGAGCGCAGAGTAGATGCGAGGGAGCCGAAGTCAACCTTGTGGACCTTCGGCTGGAGCCTGATGATCACTAGGTCCTCATTGCGCAGCGAGTAGAAGCCCGTGACGAAGATTTCATGGCGAAGGGGAGGGCGGAGGGACGGGTCAACCAGGCTGTAGCCCGCCAGCACGTGAGGAGCGGCCGAGGTGGGGTTTTCCACTGTAGCTTGGTGGGTGGAGGGAACGGCGCAAACAGTGGTGGTGGAGGGTGGCTCCTTGCTACTTAAGGCAGAAGAGATGGGCTTTTGAAAGGCAGGCCCTTGATATGTGTCCATAGTTGTAGCAGATTTTGCACCTGAAGGGACTGTGGCAACCTTTCCTTGCGTGGCCTTAGGCCAAGCATTTGGAGCAGGCCGGGAAGGAGCAGGAGGAGCATTGGGTGGAGTGGGGAATGGGCCCGAAGGGCCAAAGGACTCCAGAGATGATCCAGATGGACTAGAATTAGGGGCAAGCTTAGCACACCGATTCAAATTCAAAATGGGAGTAGAATTCGCTCCAGTCAACGGCGGGGAACGCGCTGACTCATGAGCCAGAGACTGCGCCTTGCTAGCCGATCTCTTTTGAATCAAAACCATTTTTTTGCGAAGAACACGATCAAAATCAGGATCAGAGTAAAAATTCATATGATAGTTTCTCGTGTAGGATAAACGGGAAAAGACAGGTTTGGGACGAGATTTAATAACTTCAGCATAAGATTTTTTCTGTTTGCCCACTACTGTCCATTCAGCATCTTGTTCCTCTAACCAACATGGGTATTCCAGAGACCAATTCGGTCCACCATTTCCCCATAGGAAGAAGAACAACGCAAAAGATTTGCAAAGGTAGGATTTAAGACGGTAAACGATGAAGCCAACCTCTTTGCAAGATAAAGTAAAGCTAAACATCCAACCCGAAAGATGTTTAACATGAAAATCATTTGCAATACCACCAATGCAAGATTGAAGGATGAAACTCACAGAGTCTACATTGAGACGAAGAGCCGATCTACCGAAACTGATGACCAGGAGAAAGAGTGGAGAGGAGGATGAAGAAAAGTGGCTGATCGCGAGTCCAAAACGAGAGGAGACGACTTCCTGGAAAGCCAAACCTGGACTGAAGTCCAGATCAGAGAGGCCACCGCGAGCCATGGCTGGGGATCACTGGACGCCATCACCAGAGAGAGCGCAGAGGGAGGTGGGAGCGCCGGGGAGAGCCATTGTTAGGGTTTTGATTAAATGTTCAATCAAATATTTGGAGATGTTTCCAATATGGGGAATATCCTTGACATCTGGGGTTGGTAGGGGGCATTACGCTCCTCCTGATGTAAAAAGACACTATAAATAATGTTATTCAATGAATAAAGAGGTTGGAGGATGCATTTTTTGAATGATCCAGTACTTGCTTCTACCTTCGCTTTTCATTTCGTCATTAGTAGTTCGGTGACGTCCAAGGACAACTACAAAGTTTTAGATCACTTTGAACTCTATAATTTTGGTATAACTTATGTCTTGATCCGACTTCATATAAAAAAGTTATGATTTTTTTTTTTGCAAATCAAATGAAAACCTACCTATCACTCCGGTTCATGGCTACAACGCCAGTAATAGTGTAACCACCAAGGATAGATAGATTTTTGCTACCAATTCATGGATACAACCAGCAATGATGATATATCATTGCCGATGGTAGCTATGAATTAACAGTGCTACTTTATCACTGTTAGTTTCAAAGCAACTGATAGTGATTGATTGTTTTGTTGTAGTGCCTTCTGATGGACTTAACGCTTAGTTGGTCATTTTGAGTTGGTATCCAAACTTTTGTGGCTCTTTGATAGCCTATTTTAATCAGCAAGAGTGTATAATTGTAATAATGGATGGTTGAACAAAGCTCTATAGACATCAAAATTAAATTATTTGCAAAAAGGTCTAAAATGGAAAATTTCAAATGTTATAATGAAGAGAAAAATACTAGTGCCTGCGCTATTTTCGCGGCTACCTTGGTAGTTAATTAAACTAACCCATGTGTTGTTGTTGCTATTGGACATTGATAATTAGCATGCATTTTATCTTCATATGGCAAAATATTGTTTGGGTATTTTTTTCCACACGAGGACATCCCTATTTCCATTCATAGAAAAACAGAAATACAAGAGTCTGTTGGGAAAGAAAAGCAGAAAGAGAACAGAAACCCAGCTCCCAGCATATCTGCACTCTGTCTCAGAGTCAGATAGCTGCAAGAGTTAAAGCGCATAGAACCCATCTACCGACAGCAACAGAACGAGTATTAGAATCCTATTACAGACCATCCAGGCCAACCATAACAGGCCGCAAAAAATTAACAGAGAGCTGCAGAACACAGACTACTGAAGTCCCTCTTCCCTGGCCACCTTTTCATCTCTTACAGATTCTGATCTTCGTCATCATGGTGACCACCGTGCTTCAGCCACTTCTTCCTATCTTCAACTGAGCCCTTGAATCTCTGCCACCACTCTAAGGATAGTGTTGACTCTTGATGAGCGTCTCCATGTCCACTTCGGCGTACAAACCTATCCAAAAACGCATTAGAGCACACGCGTGACACATGATTTCAATGGGATACTTGAGTTTCTTCCCATTGAAGCAAGCTTTGTTTCGAGCTTTCCAAATTGCCCCACAGATTGCAGAGACCCCCCACAAATGAAACTTCTTTCCTGTAGGTAGCCATTGGTCACAAACTCACACCAGGCCCAACATTGAGCCAAGGATGTAGGTACATTATTAGCTCTCCAATTCCTTTAGCTGTCACTGCCCAAATCACTTTTGCAATTGGACAAGTGAAAAAGAGATGGTCAATAATGATAATCTTTATGTAGCTGATGACCAATAATGCCCGGTTAACAAAATATAATCTTATTAGGAGGAAGTGAAAAAGATAATCTTTTGTTAACAGGGCATCATTGGTCATCAGCCACATAAAAAATTTTATCTTTTGAGGGGCTTTACCCTTCCAAATTCTTTTGTGGAAAGGTCCAGCATCATTTTTTTTAATCAGAGCACTATACATAGATTTCAGAGAAAAACGGTTGTTTTTTCAAGTCTCCAAATAATCACATTTTCATTCTCTTGGAGTCGAAAAGTATTCACATCAGAGTTGATTTTATCCCAGCATGTCTGCAGTTCATCTACGGTGATTTGAATTTTGCCATTTTTCATATCAGCTACATTAGCTTCTTTTTGTTCACACATGATGAACAGAACAGGAACAATTGTGTACAAAGGTTTTTCATATAGTCAAGGATCAGACCAGAATCTAGTTTTCTTTCCATTCATAATCCTAATGCTTCTGCCCTGAAGGTATATGTCCTTCACTTTGAGCAGGTCATACCATATAGGGAAATCTGTGGTTCTGTGAGTTACAGAAAAGATGGATTTATTGTACAGTGGTTTTGTGTATTGTAGTTCTTATCCAGGGGAGGATCCACCAGCCGGGATGGTCAGGCGGCCGCCAATCATTAACGCCATATGCATAGTTCCCCGCTGATCTCCTAGGCTCCTAGCTACCAGCACTGATGGACTCCCTAGGCCGACCGAAGTTCAGTTGTTGTCGTTGCTGCAGCGCGGGATGTACTCGCGGAGCCAGATCTCACGTCCGCCTACGAAGAGCGGGGCGCGGTCCACGCCGTTGAGCACCAGGCTCACGAACGCTTTGCTCTTAAAGATGATGCGGCCGTACATTGGCTGCGCGCGACCAGTGGTCTTCTCCATGAGAACACGGACAATGCAGTCTCCCCAGGTCCTGCATGCATTATCCAATCAGGATGCAACCATGCACATATATGTAGCATTCATTCACGAAGCTAGAGAACAATCATGCATGTGTCAACGAGTTGATGCAGAACATACTCCCTGAAGTAGCTAAAGATGTCGTCTCGTTCGACTGGCTGGCCCTTCGAAAATGTGACGAACATGGAGCGGCAGTCCTCCGGCACGGTGGCGACAACGCGTTCGTAGGGCGCCTCGAGCTCCTGGTTGCGGCCGACAAGGCCTGTCTGGTAGCGGCGCAGCAGGTGGTAGAGGCGGTCGTCGAAAATGAGCGTGCACACGCCGTCGAGGAGGTCGGCGACGCCACGGGCGATGCGGCCCTGGTTGAAGGCGAAGAAGCGGGAGTCGTCCATGTTGCTGTCCTGGCAGAGCGCGGAGAGGAGCGGGGTCGGCGGGCCGGGGAGGTTCCTCATGCGAAGGCAGTGGATGACGCAGCTGGCCTCGTTGAGCAGGTGGCCTAGGGCGGTGGTGCTCATGCTCGGCAGGTGGGAAATGACCTTGTTGGTGCCCTGGTCGAACCAGATGAGGAGCGCCACGACGTTCCGTGCCACCTGCGGGTGGCAGTCGCAGTCGCCGATCAAGCGTTCGTAGAGGCCGCGGGCAAAGGTGTAGTGGTACAGCACGTCGCGGACAGTGGTGACAGCAGCCATTGGTGGAACTAAGCAAGCACTAAAGCTAGCTATAGCTAGTAGCTAATGTATGCACTAATGGTCGAAGAGCTGATGCTGATGGATGGGTGATTGGTTGATGGAAGGGAAGCTTTGCAGGCCGGGGATTTATATAGGCAAGGGGAAGGAGACGATCGAGCCTATGAAACTAGAACACCGGCCTGCAGGTAGTTTCTTGGTTGGGTCGTTTTCTCACTCACCATTCCCTCACAGAATTAGCAAAAAACAAAGCGCGGGAAACAAGCGGCACGCAACCGTTTCAAACCGGCGCTACGGCTGGGCCAATCGGCACGCGGCACGTCCTACTGGTGACGAGAAAAAACCTTCCATACCAGCCTCCTGATATAGAAATAAACGCTTGTATATGAATAGACATCTCCCGTCCATATTGTCTAGTTTAGATGACAATGATTACTGGCTAAATTTGCTATTTACTGGCTACTTTGCTTCAATTTTGGGACTACAGTAATTTATGAAAAATCTACGTTTCAGATCTTCTTTTGGCTATATGTTTTCTACTACATAATTTCTTGGGATGTAGTCAATGCTTACCAAAAATTATTGATGGCGAACTTAATCGTAGAAATGTATATAGGGTAGTAATTAGTCCATTCCAAGCCCATTATCAGGTACAAGGCTGTGGCGACAAATGATATTTAAACAGCTAGTAGCTTTAATTTGCTACTCTGCATTCACAAGTATTTATTCATTGCATTCCTTACAAACGCATAGAGCAATTATGTACTGCCATCAAATCCAAGCCACATATTATACAGAACTTATTATCATTCACAAGCCATTCCAATTTTGAATTGAATGAAGAGATCAAGTCCGCAATTGAATGGCACGGATCTCTAGGCCACTTTACTGTGATAAACTTAGTACTGGTTGTATCAAAAAAAATCTTTTCCAAATTCTTACACAGGCCCTGAGAAACACAAATTAACGTAAAAGCTCACAAATGGGTCCTCAACACAACTATATCCATCTCCAATCTATGTATCATGCTACCAAATCCACTACTAGAGAACAGACTTTAGAACGATGTCCCAATTTAGTATTAGCCTCGGCATTTTTTGCCCCCGGGACTAAAGGTAGTATTACCAACCGGGACTAAAGGAAAACCTTTAGTCCCGGTTGGTAATACCAACCGGGACTAAAGCTTTTAGTTCCGGTTTGGGTGATGCTCCGGGAATAAAGATTAATCTTTAGTCTCGGTTTGGACCCCTAACCGGGACTAATTATCCCGGCCTATAATTCAGCTCATTTCTTCCTTCCTGAGCCCGAGCCATTGCATTCAAACTCACTGCCTCTGTTCTTCAGCTTGCTGTTGTTCTTGCTCTCTCCCCCTTCATTGGTGTTGCTCTTCGATTTTGGATGTAAGAAACTTAATCCTCTTATGTTTTGTCAGTAGCTTATCTCATTTTACGATGTAGATTCATGTGTAACTTTATATGTTGGACTTTATTATGATTTTATATGTCATTTTTAGCTCAAAATCACATGATGATTTGCATATATGTTTGGATAAACAAAAGTTAAATTAGTTCATCAAAATCACGCCTCGCTCGTCCTCGGCTGAGCACGCGCCATCCTCGTCCCCGGTGGCTTTACGTGATCTTAGAATTAATTTTTCCATGAAATGAAAAACTTAGAAAATTGTTAGAAAATTGTAGAAAATCCGTACTAGTTGAACTTGCGGACCGTGTTCATCTCGGCGAGCATGTTCTCTGCCGAGCGGTAACGGACGTCAAGGAGGAGCTTTGATTCTACGAGGGAGAGCGGCAGCGGTCGTGGAAGACCGTGTTCCCTTTCTCGTAGAATCGGAGCTCTTCCTTGGCCAAAATCGGTGCCGTCCGGTGGAGAAATGCTCATGAGATGATCACGTAAGCAAGGTCAACTAGTACGGATGGTTATTTATTGAAACATGTGAAATCCGTACTAGTTTAGGTTAAATATATCATTTTAGAAAATATGAAATTTACACTAGTTTGCAAAAATAAGTATAGAAAGTAGATGACAATCGGTATCGATCCTCGGCCTCTCGTTCGGTTCTTGGCTTGATCGAGGCGAACTCCCTCTCATTATCTGCGGCAAGTGTAAGCGAGAAGATTGTGATGGAGTACCGAGTCAAGAGACAGGGACCCAACAAGGGTCGTGTTTTCTCTAAAGTGCCCAGATCGCGATGTGAGTTTCTCGGCGCATTTTTATTTATGGCTAATTGACTGCTTTTCTTGAATATTTTTGACTAAATATTTTTTGGCTTTAATTTTAGTGGGAGGGCAATGGATGCGATGGTTAGTACTGGGAGGAAGATTATGCTACATACGTGCGAAATTTGGGTGCGCTTGAGGTGCGGCTACCTGGCGATGAGTCGATGAGCCAAATAGGAGAAGCTTATTGATATTCAACGGAAGAATGATTTGTCTGCTTTTAGTTGCGTCGATCACGAAATAATTATGTTACTGAAGTGCATTGTAGTTTTAGTTTGTTTAGTGATAGTTGGGATTGCTTACGTTGTAGCCAGCTTAGTTAATTAATCAACCGTGTGTGTCATTTATGTTGTGTAATAAAATACTAAATTATGTTCAAGGTTTTCATAATTTATCGTATATACTGATTATGTCACGCCATTGGATGTACAATGCCGATCGCCGCTCCCAAGACTTTATTGAGGGCTTGCACTATTTCTTAGGTGTGGCGAGGCAAATAAGCGGGATGGTTTCATGTCTTTGTCCATGTGCCCTATGTAAGAATTTAAAGGAATATTCAAGCTCAATGAGCCTTCATTCACATTTGCTTAAGTCAGGTTTCATGTCAAACTATATATGTTGGACTAAGCATGGAGAAAGCGGGGTAATGATGGAAGAAGGTGAAGGAGAAGATTTAGACATTGATGACATTATCGCTCAGTATGGTGCCTTTGATGATGCTACAATGGGGGGAGATGAAGAAGAGGTAGCGGTAGAAGATGATCTCGGTGATGCTCTTGGCGATGCCATTCGTGATGCACAACAAGAATTGAAAAGTGAAAAGAGAAAGTTAAGTTCGATTCGGCGCGCTTGAGGATCATAGGAAGTTGCTATACCCGACGGCCGAAGAGGGGCAAAAAAAGCTGGGTACAACACTGGAATTGCTATAGTGGAAGGCAAAGAATGGTATATCCGACAAGGCATTTGGGAATTTATTGAACCTCATAAAGAAGATGCTTCCGAAGCCAAATGAATTGCCCACCACTACGTCTTTAAGCAAAAAGGTTGTCTCGCCCATTGGAATTAAAAATCCGTAAGATACATGCATGTCCTAATGACTGCATCCTCTACCATGGCAATGAATACGAGAATTTGGATGAATGTCCGGTATGTAAAGCATCGTGGTATAAGATCAGGTGCGATGATCCTGGTGACGTCGAGGGTGAACAACGTCCTAGAAAGAAAATCCCCGCCAAGGTTATGTGGTATGCTCCTATAATACCACGCTTAAAACGCGTTGTTCGTAAATAAAGACCATGCAAAGTTATTGCGGTGGTATAAAGAAGACCGTAAGGTAGACAATATGCTGAGACACCCAGCTGATGGGTCCCAGTGGAGAGCGATAGACAGGGAATTTCCAGAGTTTGCAAATGAGGCTAGAAACTTAAGGTTCGCCTTAAGTACAGATGGTATGAATCCTTTTGGAGAGCAGAGCACTAGTCATAGCACTTGGCTAGTTACTCTATGTATCTACAACCTTCCTCCATGGTTATGCATGAAGCGAAAGTTCATTATGATGCCGATCCTCATCCAAGGTCCGAGGCAACCTGGCAACGATATTGATGTCTATCTGAAGCCATTAGTTGAAGAACTTCTAGTTTTATAGAACAAACTAGGTGTACGTGTCTGGGATGAGTACAAACAAGAACACTTTGACCTACGAGCAATGTTGTTCGTAACAATCAATGATTGGCCTGCTTTAAGTAATCTTTCAGGTCAGACAAACAAAGTATATAATGCATGCACACATTGTTTTGATGACCTTGACAGTATATATTTGAAAAGATGTCGAAAGGTCGTGTACCTTGGCCATCGTCGATTCCTTCCGTTGAATCACCAAGTAAGAAAGAAAGGGAAGCATTTTAAAGGTAAGCGCATCTATCGGAAGAAGCCTCATAACCGAACCGGGGAAGATGTACTCGCAATGGTCAAGGATGTGAAAGTAGTATTTGGAAAGGGACAAGGCAGTGAATCTATTCCCAAAGATGCTAAGGGACACGCACCCATGTGGAAGAAGTCCATCTTTTGGGAGCTACCCTATTGGCAAGTCCTAGAGGTCCGCAACGCAATCGACGTGATGCACCTGACAAAGAATCTTTGTGTGAACCTGTTAGGATTCATGGGTGTGTACGGGAAGCCAAAGGATTCACTTGAAGCACGCCAGGACTTGCAGGGCATGAAAGAACGAGACAACCTTCATCTAGAGAAGACAGATGATGGACGTCATTACTTAAGTCCTGCTAGCTACACGCTTAGCAAAGAAGAGAGGGACAACATGTTCGAATGTCTAAGCAAACATCAAGGTCCCATCGATTCTCCTCCAATATAAAGGGTATAATAAATGTGCCGATAAAGAAATTCCTAAACTTAAAGTCCCACGATTTGCCACGTGCTTATGACGCAATTGCTTCCAGTTGCTTTAAGAGGAATTCTACCTCCACATGTACGTCTAGCCACCGTGAAGCTATGTGCATTCCTCAATGCAATTTCTCAGAAGGCAATCAATCCAGTGGAACTAGCTACTCTATAGAATGATGTGGTTCAATGTCTTGTCGACTTTGAGTTGGTGTTCCTCCATCCTTCTTTAATATCATGACACACATCCTAGTTCATTTGGTGAAGGAGATTGGTATTCTTGGACCTGTGTTCTTACATAACATGTTCCCCTTCGAGAGGTTTATGGGAGTCTTGAAGAAATATGTGAAAGTCCGTTCTAAGCTCTGAAGGAAG